CACTGTTTTTTTGCAGGGAGCCTGTTGCCATCCCTGTTTTGGAAGGGAAAGCTCCTGCAGGTAGGCGTACTCCGGCCAGTGCATTCCCACCCATCTCCCACCCTGATTTTGGGGAACATCTGCCTGGGCAGCGTGCTTCCCCATCCTATATCCCCTGCGGTGGGATTTGTCCCACCCTGCAGCAGGCACCAGAGCTGCAGCGAGTGGATTTGGGGTGCTGCAGCCCCATGGCCGCTGGCATAGGTCCACCCCGGCGCATTGGAGGAATTTTCCCCCCCCCACCTCCTCCGGCTGGCTCTTGCCCTCTGCTGATTGCGTGCCCAGAACGTCAGCAACCAATGTGAATAACAATAAAATATGCTAGTTGGGTGGGTTTTTTTATTTTTATTATTATTTTTTGTTTTTATTATTATTCTAGATGACTTTTTCCATTGGAGACTCCCTTGCCAGGGCTGCATGCCGAGCAGAGTGCATATGGATATGAGCGGCGGCGAGAGCGAGCAAGCCAAACCTGGCCTGCCGCTGCCGTTTTGTGCTTGACAGCTAATTTCCATTTTTCAGTATCAGGGGGTCTGCTCCGGTAATTGGCATGCAGATTGTGTCTGATGGGCCTGTTAGGCACGAGGAAAGACTCTGCTGGTTAGAATAAGCCAACCCCAGGCTGATGGATGGGGCGTAAGGAGGTCATTGCGAGAGAGAATATATCGATGCCCGTGCGCCCGCATCTACGAAATTTCACATTTCGTCCCTCCTCCCCCCCCCCCCACTTTCTTTATCCAGCAAACTCTAATCTATCGCATTTCATTGAGCCAAATCCTGCTCTGCTTCTCTCTCTTTCCTTTTTCCCTTTAAGGGAAATGTGATGGAACCTACTCCTGGATTTAATAAGATGATGGTGTGGCGTAGCAGGAATTAAAGCGGTGCCATGCTTCATTAGCAGCTGGGGATCACACGGAGCGGGCCCAGATGTTAATTACACTTTGGGAATTAATTGGTATAAGGCGTTCCTCTCCTCCATCATCTGTAATCTGGTGGGCGTGCAAGGACTTCTGGAAGTGGAGATCACTGGGTGGGTGCTGGCTGTGACTGAGGGGCAGGGGCTGCCTTGGAAATCTTGAAGCTGCCTTCATTTCCACCCCCTTGGTGCCCCAGGACCTGCTGCCACTTTCCCCTCTTTTCCACCCTGTGCCCTATTCTTCTCCAAACTTTTTTTCCAGCTGCTGGGGAGAAGCAGGTCCAGATGGGACTGGAGAACGGTGGGAGGTGGCACCGCTTTGAAGGAGGAAAGACCTCGAAACTGGCCAGTCTCAGGAGACCCCAGAAGGGCTGGCGGGACAGCACCTTCCCTTTCTCCTGCTCCCTGACCCATCCTTGCTGGCCCATCCCTTCCCTCCATCTCCGGGTGCAGACCTGGGCCATTCCCTGTGCTGCACGGGAGAGCCCCAGCCTGCCCCCGCAGGACCTCTCTGCTGCTGAAATCGCCCCCCAGTTCTCAAAGGAAACTGGTCTCCAGTTTCTCCCCTCCCCTTTTCCACCTTGGATTCAACATGATGAAATGCAAAAGCTGCTAAAAAGCTGGGCAGGGTGGGGGGGGCTTTTTGCCAGAGGACAGAAATGATATGCTTGGAAATGAAGAATATTCCTCTGAATGCTGCCAATTTGTTCCTTTTCTGAGCTGGCTGGTGGCAGCCCAGCGTGGGGCACGGTTATCTCTGCAGCGGAGCATCACATCTTCAGGTTTCTGCCTGGCCTCAGAGAGATTGCTGCATGGCCCCAGTGGGATGCTTGCGTTCAGCTTTACCCCCCCACCAAATGGCTCCCAGGCCTTAACAGCGCTGGCGCCGGAGCTCTCACCATGGCAGGTGCAACAAGATGAGCCCACGCTCCATGTTTGCCCTCCTCTGCCAGGCTTCCCAGCGGTGATGCTCCCAGGTTGCAGCAGAACTCACCCTCGCTGCTTGCTGCCGGCATGCTCTGAGCTTCTGTGCTGCCTGCAGCGGTCCTCAGGCTGTGGTGGGTCCTGTTTGAGCAGGGGGGTTGGACTGGATGATCCCCCCTTCCAACCCCTGCCATTCTGGGATTCTGTCGGTCTTGGTGTTGCTGATGCTCTTTGGTCTTGAGGCATCAGCCAAGTTGGTGCAGGCCCCTTTCGCCTGCCAGCAAGGGTCATTAATGTTACTTCAGTGCAACACTTCACTGCCATTTAGTTCCCTTGGAGCCCTTCTCACTGAAGCCAAAGGCCCTGTAGGTTCAGCCACTTCCTTGGACCATACTTGGGCGGTCTCTGAAGGTCCCTTGCTGGTGATTATAACACGTGCTTCAATTTTGCTGGTGCAGCCGTTCCAGAAATCCTCTTTTCTACTGTTTGATGTGTGAATGACCCTAACATCCCCTCTTGACGTTGGCTGAAATGCAAAGGTCACACGGAGCAAAGAATTTCAGGAGGAGACGGTCAAGACCAGCTTTGTGCATCCTCGTGGGTGAAGTCCGTCCCAGCTCAGGGCACACAGAGCTTTCGAGCTCTGCACAAGCAGATGCAATAGCATCTCTCACACGCGTTGTGTACCCCTATGTATGCCCTGGAGACCCCTCCGCTGTCTGCCCACAGTCACACATGTCCTCATGCTGGCCATGCGCCGGCTTGGCCGTGCCCATGACTGGGCGTGCAGTGCTGTGGGCGAGAGCTGCCTCTCTGGGATGTGCAAGGCGGGGCAGGGGATCCCTGCTGCAGGAGGTGCCTGCACCCCAATGTGTGGCTCTGCAGCTCCCCTGGAATTGCAGAGGGAGGCAGAGAGAAGTGCCCAGGGGACCCAGCCTTCCCTTTGACAGTCCCCAGCAGAGGGCAATAGAAGCAAATGGAAGAGACAAGGCCTTGCAAGTGATGTGCGAAGAGGAGCCGTTTTCAAGCCGGAGCGATGGGTGAGAGGGGAAAACATGCAAGAGGGGAAAATGCGCAGAGATGGGCAGTGGGTGCAGTGGGGTTTGGGGGGGCTTGGGAAGGAGGGTCAAAGCAAACCAGAGCAATTCAAGGATGTTTTGGTAGGAGTTAAAGCAAAACAATGCTTTCCAAAGTGCAAAATGAATCGCTTTGGTTTTGGATGGAGAAGGGGAGATGTTTAGCCCTTTTGTTTAAACTTTCTTGACTTTAGGTCAGTTTTTAAGTGGCCCAGCTTGGGCCAGAGCCACGTTACTGCTCTCTGCATGCTCCTGCCTGGCTTGGCAGGTTTTGAGACCCCGCTTGCAGGTTTCCTACATATGTTTTTTCAGCTTTTTTTGTCTCAAGCTGCTTGGAATTACACAGGGGGATGTTTTAGCAAGGAAAGCTTTCCATGGCAGGAGCGCGATCCTGCAGGTGCCCTCCCAGCCAGGACAAGACATCTGCACAGACACCGCAGGGAAGTCTTTCCTGGCAGTATTCCCACCTGGATGCAGAGCCGAGACTTAGCCTTTTTTGGGGGAAAAAATGAAATTGTTTCAAAAGGAAGGGCAAAACCCATGTGGCAGGGAACTGTGAGTGCTTGGGTGGGATGCAGGGTCCTTGGGAGGGCCAGACACCCCACCGAGGAGTGGGGGACATTATT